TCGCGCGGCGGCGAGGCGGGGGCGTCGGCGCCTCGGCCCGCGCCGCCTCCGCGGCCTGGACCTTCTTGCAGACCTTCCGGTGGCCCCGGTCGCGCCAATCGATGCGTTGGCAGTCCGTCGAACAGTAGGCCGTCGTGCCGCACCCTCCGCACGCCTTGGCTTTGTCGGCGCCGCAGATCGTGCAGGTCTTGAGAGTGTCGAGTTTTTTGCCCCTCGCTCGGGCCATGCGAGTCTCATACTCCAACTTCTTCTCCTGCCACGACATGACTCGGCGCGCGTCCTTGACCGGGGCGTCGCCGCACAAGCTCCTGAAGACCCGAGCTCGCAAGGCAAAATCGCTCAAAATCTTACCCCAGGCCTAAGCCCACCCCCTAGCGCATGGCGTTCATGTCGTTCTCCACGCCCCCCTCGGCGGCGACGTCGTCCTTGCGCCAGGTGGGCGTTCAGGAACGCGAGGCACCAGACCGCGAAGGTCGGCGCGGTGAGGAACGCGGCGACGACGACGCCAAGGCAAGCACGACTCGCTTGCGCGCAAGCGCAGCATCTCGGGCGACGACGCGGCGTGAAGACTTAGGCTATACTCGCGCGTCGAGGTGCGCGAGGCCTTCTGTAGCTTCCTCGCTGCCCTTGGCAGCGGCGCGCTCGAACCAGTATCTGGCCATGCCGAGGTCGACTTCTGTGCCGTCTCCGTCCATGTAAGAGCAGCCAAGGCAAAACTCCGCACCGATATGGCCTTGATCCGCCGCGAGCGCGAAGTACCGGAACGCTTCTTCGTGTCTCTTCTCAGACTCAAGGAAAAGCCCTATACTGGTTTGCGCGACCGCGATGCCCCGATCGGCGGCCATGCGATACAGCCGCTCCGCCTTCTTCTTGTCCAGCTTGACGCCGCTTCCATCCCTGTACAAGGTTCCCAGGTTTCTCATCGCGTACACGTTCCCGAGCTCCACGGCGCGCTTCCAAATTTTTGCGGCTTTCTTATCGGACTTCACGAGCCCCAACCAACCGTCGTGGTACGCGTCTCCCAAACACGAAATCGCTTCCGGCACTTCGTTCTCCACATGGCGGCGAAGACGCGCGAGTTCTTCCGCATTGCTTTCTGTGGACGATAACCGACAGAGGGGACACGCCTCGAGTCCGATCTTGTCGTTGCACGATTGGCAGACCTTTCGGCAGCAACAGATGCGAAACACGCCCGCAGCATTCACGTCCCACTCCTCGAGGCAGATCGGGCACCGCGACCCAAACCGCGCCGAGAGGGGCTCGGGCTCCGGGTTCGCCTCCCGCAGGGCACGAGCCGCCTCGTGTTCCGCCGCGATGCGCGCGCGGACCTCGTCGGCGTGCGACCGAGGCGCGGGGCCGTAGAACACGTCCCGCGGCGGCGACGGCGGGGGCGTCGGCGCCTCGGCCCGGGCCACCTCCGCGGCCTGGATCTTTTTGCAGACCTTCCGGTGGCCCCGGTCGCGCCAATCGATGCGTTGGCAGGCCGTCGAACAGTAGGCCGTCGTGCCGCAACCTAGACAGGGCCGGGCATCCTTCTTCCCGCAAATCGTGCATATGTTGAGCGCCAGCTTTGTACGAGTTTTTCGCGCCTCGTACTCTCGCTTCTTCTTGATCAGTTCCGGGTCCATGATCTCTTCCCACGCTCGTCGCCGACGCTCCCTATTCAACCACCTCACTCGTCTATCGTCCCTCGGGGTCGCAAGGCAAAATCGCTCAAAACCTGACGCCAGGGCTAAGCCCTACCCCTAGAGCATCGCGCTCATGTCGTTCTCCATGCCCCCCCTCGGCGGCGTCGTCGGCCTTGCGCCAGGCGGGCTTCGCATTCAAGAACGCCAGGCACCAGACCGCGAAGGTCGGCGCGGAGAGGAACGCGGCGACGACGACGCCAAGGCCAAGCACGACTCGCCCGCGCGCAAGCGCAGCATCTCGGGCTCGGGCGACGACGCGGCGTAAAGATTGTTAGGCTATGGTCGCGCGTCGAGGAGCGCGAGGTTCTCTATGGCTTGCTCCTCGCCCTTGGCAGCGGCGCGCTCGAACCAGTATCTGGCTTTGCCGAGGTCGACTTCCGTGCCATTTCCGCGCTCGTGACAAATGCCAAGGTTGTTCTCTGCACGTCTATAACCTTGATCCGCGGCGAGCGCGTAGTACCGGAACGCTTCTTCAAATCTCTGCTCAGAGTAAAGTAAAAGCCCTGTATTGTATTGCGCGAGCGCGATGCCCCGATCGGCGGCCGTGCGATACAGCCGCTCCGCCTTCTTCTTGTCCAGCTTGACGCCGCTTCCATCCCTGTACAAGGTTCCCAGGTTTCTCATCGCGTACACGTTCCCGAGCTCCACGGCGCGCTTCCAAATTTTTGCGGCTTTCTTATCGGACTTCACGAGCCCCAACCAACCGTCGTGGTACGCGTCTCCCAAACACGAAATCGCTTCCGGCACTTCGTTCTCCACATGGCGGCGAAGACGCGCGAGTTCTTCCGCATTGCTTTCTGTGGACGATAACCGACAGAGGGGACACGCCTCGAGTCCGATCTTGTCGTTGCAC